TATTTCCAGTTTTAACAAGAATGCCTGTCTTTACTTCAATTATTGGGTTAATTTTTAATGAATGCTTCTCTTGATCAAAATTTAATAACTTTGTTTTGTTGAATATTATTCGTTGTTCCTCACAAGATTTTGTTTTAGAATCAAATACCAGATCAGGGCTTCCTGGTGAGGCAAACAATAATTTACCTCTTATTTTTACAGGCAATAATTCATAACATTTATCCTCTACTTTTTGATCCCATATTATTTCTTCAACATTGACTGGGGTACATAATCCTAAATTCCATTTTAATTTTATTCCATTTTCCAAGGATGCTATTAAATCATTTCTCCCATAGAGTAATCTTGCTGCTTTGGTGGGATTTGTTTCAGCTATAATTTTAGCGATTTGTAGTTGTTGATTTCTATTTTGGCAAGTAATTTTCCACTGTTCTCTCATTATTTCCTCTCGAGCTTGGGATTCTTCCCATGACAGATAATTTAATCGACTTTTCTCATGATTATCCTTAATTTTATTATCTCGTTCCTTTTGTGCTTCCTCGGGATCAAACAATTCTCTTTTATTTAAGGGTGCCAAAGTAGAGAAGATTTTAAAATTTTCATCCAAAAGTCCAGGTTCTCCTTTTGGTCCAGGTAATCCATTTTTACCATTAATACCTGGGCTTCCTTTATCGCCTTTAGGTCCAGCCGGACCCTGAGGTCCTGGTAGTCCATCCAAACCATTTTTCCCATTTAGCCCTGGTAATCCAACTTGTCCAGGCCTTCCAGGTATTCCATTATCGCCTTTTTCTTTAAATCCGGGCGCAGTATTCTGCCCTGAAGCTCCTTTTGACCCTCTAGGTCCAGTATAACCCATATCTCCTTTTTCTCCAGGTGCTCCTTTCATTCCTCTAGGTCCAGTATACCCCATGTCTCCTTTTTCTCCAGGTGCTCCAGGTCTTCCATCTGAGCCCGGTATACCTTGATCTCCTTTCAAATAATTATTTTTAATTTGTTGTTGTATTGGGAGACGATAATTTGGATCAATTGAAGGTGTTGTATACATTCTTTTATTATGAATAGGTGTGGTTTTTGTACTTAATATTGGCTTTTTTGTGGTTAATAATGGACGAGTTGTTGTTTTTATTGTTTTAATAGTTGGTGGAATTGGTGTTTGTTATGACCCCGCTTACGTAGAGAGGCTAACAAATACGTTTATCGCACAATGAAATACAGAGCAGGTGAAGGTTGTAGGAAGAACTAAAACTGTGAGCGAGAACTAACTATTGGCTATCCTTTTATACTAACACTTCAAGGGCTGACGCCCATACACAACACCTCCCCCCTTGAAAAAAAGGTTCGGCTTTCACTTAAAGCCGAAGCTTTACAATATACTCACACTTTTTAGCCAAACAAAACAAACAAAATACATACAAAAATTTGGGGGAATAAGGACAATGGGAACAAACAATAATACAACATTACAAAAAAATACAACAATAATATTATCACAAAATTTTATATATTTATTTACTTCGCACATCTACGTCTCCATATTATTATCGTCGTTTTCCGCATCTTTCATCTTTGACTTGTTCCCATTTGTGTTGTCCTTCATCTTTGACTTGATCTTCTTTGAGCTGTCCAAGTGCTGGCACTCGATGAAGTTACACTACTATCACTCAACACTTTTTCTTCACTCATATTCATTTTTGGAATCTCTTCATTCAACAATTTCTTCTTATTACTCCACTCATCATGACGGATTTCTTTATACATCCTGGTCACAATACTCTTTAGCACTGGCACTTTGATTTTCCAGGCATTATCCGTCTTGCGCACTATTTCACCTTTGAGCCACTCCACTTTGCCACTTCTTTTGTTGGTGTTCTTCACTTTTACTTTTGTTCCGTTCGGGAACGCATTTTTCTGTATCTTGAAGTTTGCCTTCTTTTTACTCCACTTGTTGTACTTTGACTTCTGATTTTGCACTGACACTTCTTTCAAGCCTGGCAAACCCAAGATACTCACTTCACTATTCACTACATGAAACTCCATAAAGACGTCTTTGTCTTTCACTCTCACTTTGCTTTTGAACTTTCCTTCAATTTCTACCTTGTTGTCACCCAGCCCAATACCACTGTAATTCACTTTTTCAATTGTTGGCTGACCAATACTTTTCCAAATTTCTTTAGTGACAACATTGATCTGCGAAGCAGTATCGACAATCATTTCAACACTCACTTCTCCAAACTTCACTCTTTGTTTAATCCACTCTTCTTTTTCTACACTTTGCAATGGATCGAAGATGTCCAGTATTGCACAATATGGTGAACCTGAATGATTATTATCATTACTCCACTGCCTTTTTGGCTGATACTGATTATTCTTCAAGAACTTACAATGCATACGCCAGTGACCAAAACGTCCACAATGACTACACTTCTTTTCAATAACATTTTGCTGGTACTTGACGTTTGGTTTGGACCACTGTTTTTTGCACTCACTACCATTTTCACTTTCACTCTTTTCACAACACTTCACTTTTTGAATTGTGTTGACTTCAGGCATTTCTTTCTTGACTTCACTACTTTTCTCCTTGACAATATACAAGGCTTCACTTTTATTGGCCAAATATGCCCGACACTCTTCAATAACTTCTTTCAATGTCACTGTGTGCCCCTTTTCACTTTTATTTTCAACACTCTTCATGGCGACTTGTCGTACTGAGTTTGCATCACTTGGCAAACCTGAAATAAAAATAAGAATTTTCAATTCTTCAATTGACAAGGCCATGTCCGCGCGCTCACATTGAGCATTCACTAAATTCCCAAACTCAACAATATCTTGGAGATTACTACACTTAACATTTAAGGCCTCGAACCTTTTCAACAATTTGGACCTATGGTCACTAAACTCTTTCACTAATTCACTACAGAGTTCGTCAAACTTCATCTCACTCAATTTAGTTGGCAGCAACTTCCTTTCAATCTGGGCATACTCTTCTGGCCCCAATTTACTCAACAATAATCTCACTCTAGAGGACTCTGGCAGGGTTTTACCCTCCTCCTCAAAATAGGACCGATGCCTGCCCAACCAAGACTCAAAGGTCATACCACTCGTCAAATCAAAACTAAACTCACCGATCATCCCCACCAATTTGCTGTAGAGTTCGGTTTCGTTCATCTCACTCGGCTTCAGCAGGTTCACTAACAATTTCTCAAAATACTCCTGTTGAGCCTTCAACAATTTGTCCAATGCCTTTGGATCCATTTCACTAAAATACAATTTTTTTTATCACTACACTTTAACACTAAACACTACAATTTCACTAACCTTTTCGGTTTTTACAACACTGCAATTGTCCACACACTTTTTCTTTCCTGAACTGCACACAGCTTTCGTTGACGCCACACAGCTTACTGAAGTTGACGAACTTGACGAAACCAGGTTCTTTTGCAGGAGACCGCGCCAATTTGTTATGACCCCGCTTACGTAGAGAGGCTAACAAATACGTTTATCGCACAATGAAATACAGAGCAGGTGAAGGTTGTAGGAAGAACTAAAACTGGGAGCGAGAACTAACTATTGGCTATCCTTTTATACTAACACTTCAAGGGCTGACGCCCATACACAACAGTGTTGTTGTGGTAGTCGTGGTTTAAAAAGGATCTACCAGTTAAAGGAGAAATATTTGTTGTTGTGGTAGTGTTGTTGACGACTACCACAGTGTTGTTGACTACCACAGTGTTGTTGTGGTAGTCGTGGTTTAAAAAGGATCTACCAGTTAAAGGAGAAATATTTTCATTAAGTCCAGAAAGTTGTTGGAACTTGGCTAAGAGCACAAAATTAAGAAGAATGAATGAAGTTTTATGGTCCGTTTCATTTAATAATGATTTAGAATATGCGTGGTTTGGACAGAATTGTGTTATAGATAAACATTATTTTTTGGAGGAAGGAGAAGGTGCATTAATGAATAAAAGATTCGAGACTAGTTTTGGAGTCTCAAAATCTTTAGATTTTCATACTATAAATGGTTCTTTTAAAGATGAAGAAAAATTACTTTCTGTTATTGGTTGGAACGCTCCCTCGGAAGATTATATTTATACCCATTATTCATTTGGGCCAGTACCAGCAGAGATATTTTACAAAAATAATTCTTTAAATGGATTAGTTAAAGTTAACGAATTACAATATGTTTTCGCGCCGTCCGAGAACATTTCAAGAAATTCTGAGGTATTAGGTGTTCCTGGGGAGGCTTGGCCAATGGACAATGACGTTTTCATATTAATTTTAAACACAACTGAAAGAATCATTCAAAAGAGGCAAGTTACAAAAAAACAAAATTTTAGACGTACTACTACCACGACTACCACAACAACACTGTTGTGTATGGGCGTCAGCCCTTGAAGTGTTAGTATAAAAGGATAGCCAATAGTTAGTTCTCGCTCCCAGTTTTAGTTCTTCCTACAACCTTCACCTGCTCTGTATTTCATTGTGCGATAAACGTATTTGTTAGCCTCTCTACGTAAGCGGGGTCATAACAAATTGGCGCGGTCTCCTGCAAAAGAACCTGGTTTCGTCAAGTTCGTCAACTTCAGTAAGCTGTGTGGCGTCAACGAAAGCTGTGTGCAGTTCAGGAAAGAAAAAGTGTGTGGACAATTGCAGTGTTGTAAAAACCGAAAAGGTTAGTGAAATTGTAGTGTTTAGTGTTAAAGTGTAGTGATAAAAAAAATTGTATTTTAGTGAAATGGATCCAAAGGCATTGGACAAATTGTTGAAGGCTCAACAGGAGTATTTTGAGAAATTGTTAGTGAACCTGCTGAAGCCGAGTGAGATGAACGAAACCGAACTCTACAGCAAATTGGTGGGGATGATCGGTGAGTTTAGTTTTGATTTGACGAGTGGTATGACCTTTGAGTCTTGGTTGGGCAGGCATCCGGCCGCGAGTAAAAACATATGACCGCTGTTATTTTCTTCTTCACGTGAACACTTTTTTTTATTCTTTTACCTCTTATAGGTATTTGATATATGAGGGATCCCTTTTTTTTATATTTTTGGAAAGGTGTGATTTTTGGACCTTGCGATTTGCCCCTTCTTAATTTAGAAAAAATATTTTGGTGGTTTTATAGTTTGTGGATTTGTGTTTTATTTTGTGTTTTTGTATTTTATTATATTTGGAATTTAAAATTTTTTAATATTTTTTTAGCCCCTTTGGAATTTGGACAAGTCGAATGTCCGGATGAAATGGAATGCCATTACCACTGCTGGGGTCTGCTCGAGTGGGAAAATCCCATTTTTTGCTCTATGGAACAACCCAATATTGTTTTAGGGTCTACAACCCCGTCCGCCCCAACAACTACTGCCAATAGTCGTTTTACTGTCACTCAACACATATATATCGTACATTTCACTCAGGGATTAATTCTATTTTTGATTTTTGTTTTGATTTGTTTTGTTTATTTTACCCGCCGAACTGTTCCTGCCCGTCCTATTCCCAAAAATCGTCCCAAACCTAACTTTTCTCTTCCAAAACCTCTCCTTATTTCCGCAGTTTAATTTAAAATGTTATTATTTTTCACAGCAAACAACCTTGTTAACGTTTGACTGCTAATTGTTATTTTGTTGAAATAAATTTGTTATAAAGTTTGTTTTTGAAACGTTTAATAAGAGAGATACGGAAAATATTTTTTAAAAAGCGGAAGATGCGGAGGCGGAAAATCAAACAAAATGTAATAAAGAAAATATGATCCGCCTAGGACCTCCATATTAAGAAAATTCGATACCCTCCCAGGGTTGGGTCTCCCGAAGGTCGAGAGACCTTCGAGAGACGCCCTGGGAGTCTGGTCTCTACTTAACTAAAAACTTTTAAAACAAAACTATTAACAAAATATTTTTATTCAACACAAATATATTATTCACCCCGCGCGAAGCGCGGGGTTTTGCACAAGCGCCTCGCCGACGACCCATAGGTTTAGGTTTTTTTGTTTTTTTGTGTTTTAACTTTGTCTAATCTTGTTCAATCACGGTGATTTTGGTGTCATTCGACTCAGCTCGTCGAGCTCTTTCGAATGAGTTATTATTTGCATTTTCGAATTTTTCACCCCAAAAAAGTGCTTGGTCCCCCCTATGGTTTTTGACCATTTCGAGCCCTATATCTCGGCCCATTTATGAGTCCGCACGAAAATTTTTTCACCATTCGACTCAGCTCGACGAGCTCTTTCGAATGACATATCACTCGACCTAATCGGCGTCTGTGTCGTATAACGAAATTTTTCCGAATATAAAAAGAAAGGAAATGAAAAGCCGAGGATATCTTTTTATAGTGCCAATAATCATAAAATGAAAAAAAACCTTTTTTCTCTATTCGAATAGCAAAATCTGTATTGCACAAATTTTTATCATATTCAAATAAACATATAGATTCAGCCATAGCCGTTTTTCACTGAAAAAATTCGAATAACCTAATCAAAAATAAAAATTTAATTCACAACCTTTTTCAAAAGATGATTTGACAAAATAAATTCTGAAACTACAGGTTGAAGTTTGATTGTTAGTTTGATTGTTTAGTTTGATTTGTTCTATTACCTGGGTAATAGAACTCGGGTTAACCCTTATTCAAAAAAAATCGACCCAGAACTCGATGATTACCCGCAGCTGCCTATTGGAGAGAATGAGTCCCTTTTTCGCTCAAAAATGGGGTACTTTACGCGAAAATTTATAGTAAATTTATTTCTCAAAAAAAATTTTTAAAAATTATATCAAAAAATAGAGCACACTCTAATCTGTCTAAAAATATTTAATTTGTAATTTTTCGATTGAAATAGGATTTTTAAGAAATTTTTAAAGAGATGCGGGTAAGATTTTAACCCTCATCGGAGCAGGGTTAAAATCTTACCCGCAGCTGCGGGTTCTATTACCTGCAACCCTCATTTTTGAATAAGGGTAAGAACCATACCCGCAGATGCGGGTTCTATTACCCGAGTAACTAACCATAGCTGCGGGTTACCCGTACCTCCATTTTTGAATAAGGGTTCTGGGTTAAACTACCCGCAGCTGAGGGTTGGTTAACCCCTACCTCCTTTTTTGCATACCGCCTGTTGTGGTGTGGTGGCTAGTATAAAAGCCTCACACAATTGTCAGTCCGTGTCTCCTAATTGTCTCCTAATATTATCCCAACCTTATTGTACTTCAACATTATTGTATTTCTTTGTGTGTGATAAACACATTATTGTAATTGCTTATTTCTTGTTGTGCAGAGACACAACAAAATTGGCGCGGATCGACTACGGATTCAATAAATTGTATTGGTCGACAAAGAAGCAATTGTAAATTGTATTGAAGACAACAAATCAGGTTAGTGGCTTGTTAATTGTTCATTGAAAAAATATTGTATTGATTGTCAAGATGAAAGCGGAAGACATTCAAAAACTCCTTGAACAACAACAAAACAAATTCAATCAACAGCAAAAGGAACTTCAGGAACACCAAAACAAACAATTAATGCTACAGCAAAATCAGATTGCAGAATTGTTGAAAAAATTGGGCAATACGCCGAATATTGATAGTGCAACTTCGCTTCATCAAGAAGGAGCAGCGCTATATGGTAAATTGCATAAATTGATTTCTGAGTTCCATTGTGATATTCCAAGGGCATTCACGTTCGAAACGTGGTACGATAAGTACAAATCGTACTTTGAAATTGAGGGGGCCACATTGAGTGATGAAATGAAAGCTAGATTGCTTATTGCGAAATTAGGTGGTCCCGAATATTCTAAAATTGCCCAAAAATTATTGCCACGAAAATTATCAGACCTGAAATATGGGGAATTGTTAATTGAATTGAAAGAGGAGTTTGGGGACCCGAGGTCCAAATTGCTAAAGCGTTTCGATACGCTGAAATTGAAATGTAATGAATTTGAAAATATATTGCAATTTGGGAATCTCGTAAATGCCGAATGTGAAAAGTCAGAAATGAATCTGACTATTGAAGAAATGAAAATATTGATATTTATTGTAGGTCTTCCTGACTCTGCAATGGATTTGAAACAAAATTGCATTCGGATGGTTGAAAATAAATCAAAGAAGAAAGAAGATTGTAAATTCAAAGAGTTATTGGAAGATTGTCGAGGATTCTTGTCTACGAAAAAAGAGGTCAAATTATTGTCTGAACCTGTACAGGTCAGTAAAATTGAATTGGGTTCACCACCGGAAATAAATATTATTCAGGAACCTCAATTACAACAAAAATCAAATATTGAAATTGAAAACAAGAATCGATATTATCCACCACCAAAAAGGCCATATTGTAGTCATTGCAAAAAAGAAGGACATTGGACTTCTTATTGTTATTTTGCTGGTAAGCGTAAATTCTCACCTAGAGTGAATAATTTGAAAATTGGTTTAGATAAGAGCAATGATGGTCCTTATTGTATATTGTTGGATATTGAAGACAATGAAGTGTTACAAAAACATAATTGGATTGTTCAAAAATTGAAAATCAATGGGACTTCATTGAATATGATTGTTGATACAGCTGCACAAATTTCTATTATTTCAAAGGAAACGTGGTCACAAATTGGTGAACCTAAATTGGAGGAAGTTTCCTATAATGGAATTGCAATGGGCCAATCAAAATTCAAAATTGAAGGAAAATTTGCAACACAGATTGATTGTAATGATAAAAAAGAAGAATTAGATTGCCATGTTGTGGAAGGCAAATTGAATTTAATTGGATTGCCCTGGCTTAAAAAATTGAATTTATTGAAGAATATTGTGAATGTTCCAGAATTCGAGAAGAAAAGGAAGGAAATTGTCTGGAACAAACAAAAGCCATTGCCAAAACCAATTGTAAAGAAAAAACTCTGGAAAGGCAAAAATGTCATGGTGAAGAACAAAAACAATAGAACCAACAAAATTGAATGGCTCAGAGGTGAAATTGTGGGCAAAGTTGGTCAATTGTTTAGAGTTCAAGTATATTGCCTGAAGAGTGTAATATTGAGAAAAATTGAAGATATTAAAGAAGATTATCAACAGCCAAAAATTGAACCAAAGAATGGTTACGCTGTCAAACGTTCCAATGCGAGGCTTTACAATGAAGGCGCAACACCAAAGAAGAAGACAAAAGTCCAATCTGAAGAATCTGAGGGATCTGAAGATAGGATGAAGAGCTGTTCTGAGGGATCGTTAAAATCTGAGGGTTCAATAAATTCTGGAGGATAGAAGAAAGTAAAATAAAAAATAGATAAATTATGTTCCCTTGTTTGTAAAATTTTATTTTGTTCCCTTATTCCCTCATTTTTTTTGTATGTATTTTGTTGACCGGACTTTTGTTATTGTTGTATGTTTTGTATTGCGGTGTTGTAACCCCAGCCTTGCAAAGGGGGAGGTGTTGTGGTGTGGTGGCTAGTATAAAAGCCTCACACAATTGTCAGTCCGTGTCTCCTAATTGTCTCCTAATATTATCCCAACCTTATTGTACTTCAACATTATTGTATTTATTTGTGTGTGATAAACACATTATTGTAATTGCTTATTTCTTGTTGTGCAGAGACACAACACCGCCCCAGGGATATATCTGCACCAGCGTTCCGCCTTCCACAAAATTCTGCATTTTTTGAGTCTTCTGTTTCCGTCTTCCGCTTTTTAAAATTTAAAATTATCCATCCCTGTATACACAATAAAAGAAACAAAAAATAGTTGTGGGTCTTCTGTCTGTGGGTATTCTGTCCTTGTGGGTCTTCTGTCTGTGGGTCTTCTGTCTGTGGGTCTTCTGCGTCGACACGACTTTTTAATTATGCTTTTGAAAGAGCCGAGTTTAGAAATATTATATTTAATCCAAAAATGATTAATTTATTATTTGATGATGATAAAACAATTGTTAAACAATTTCACGTTCAAAACCTCCATCTACTGCTTAGCAATGATACATTTGAAAATTTTTTGAAGTTTGGTTTGATTAGTTTCGCAATTTATAATTTTCTTGGATTTTACGATTTAGATGGGAAATAAATTTAAATTTTAGTACATAACAATATCTAAAGATCTTTCAAAAATTGTGCCTAGTATTATCTTATTTTGTCATTCATTCAATAAAATTAGATTGCCAGAGAGAGCAGAAAATGTTAAAACTAATGGAAATTCTTCAGAATACCAAATTGTCAATATTCATAATCCAAACGTGAAATTTTCGTGTTTAAACAAAGAATATCTGCCATATTCTCTTATTTATATAAAAAAATGGAAGAGTAGAATTTGAGACGAAAACGATTTATTCAGAGAATATTTTTAATTTTCATTGATTTTAAATTAAAATTTTTTGGCTTATTTGTTTTTATCCTTTTTTAGAAGTATATTGTAGCGTAATTAATGCTCTATCCAATTTAACCAAGGGTACAAAGACTGATCGTTTTTTCATCCGTTATAGAGTCCTGGACGCAGTCGAGGGGAGCCCTGGTTCATGAATATACACGAATAAAAGGCGTATATATGTACATATTTAATTATTCTGAATTAAGTATTTGTTTAAATTCTATTTAAAGCTATGGTTACATAAAAATCGCTTTGCGTTTTGCGACAGAAAATGGCATGCAAAATGAGGAGACAAAATCATGCGCGATTTTTATGTAAAGATAGCATAAGGACGACTCCACCCCAGAATATCGACACCCAAAATGACGAATTACCCAAAATATAAATTTTTTTTTCGCCTGCGGCGCAGGAAATGGATGAAATAGGGGGATTTATGGCTTCAAAACCTTCCAAGAATCAAAAATTATCGTATACGGCCCTAAAAATTAACAACTATATGCAGTTGACCCTAAAAATTTGCAAAAATCTACGATTTTTTGCTTTTTTCTCAAGTACGAGAAAGTACGAGGTACGAGTACGAGGTACGAGGCCAAAAATGGGGCTTGTACGAGTACGAGAAAAAAAATTAGGCAAGTACGAGTACGAGTACGAGGAAAAAATAAGGCATGTACGAAAGTACGAGTACGAGTACGAGGTAAAAAAAGGCCGGTACGAAAGTACGAGTACGAGCAATTTTCAAAATTCCAACCACTGGTTGGAACATCATTTCCGATCATTGGAATACATAATTATGAAAATTAAAAAATTCGATATTTTGGGTAATTCGTCATTTTGGGTGTCGATATTTAGGATCATTCGATATTTTGGGTGCGATATTTTGGGTGTCGATATTTAGGATCATCGATATTTTGGGTGTCGATATTTAGGGTGGCGATATTTAGGGTGGCGATATTTTGGGTGTCGATATTTAGGATCATTCGATATTTTGGGTGTCGATATTTAGGGTGGCGATATTTTGGGTGTCGATATTTAGGGTGGCGATATTTTGGGTGTCGATATTTAGGATCATTCGATATTTTGGGTGTCGATATTTAGGGTGGCGATATTTTGGGTGTCGATATTTAGGATCATTCGATATTTTGGGTGTCGATATTTAGGGTGGCGATATTTTGGGTGTCGATATTTAGGGTGGCGATATTTTGGGTGTCGATATTTAGGATCATTCGATATTTTGGGTGTCGATATTTAGGGTGGCGATATTTTGGGTGTCGATATTTAGGATCATTCGATATTTTGGGTGTCGATATTTAGGGTGGCGATATTTTGGGTGTCGATATTTAGGGTGGCGATATTTTGGGTGTCGATATTTAGGGTGGCGATATTTAGGGTGGCGATATTTTGGGTGTCGATATTTAGGGTGGCGATATTTAGGGTGGCGATATTTTGGGTGTCGATATTTAGGGTGGCGATATTTAGGGTGGCGATATTTTGGGTGTCGATATTTAGGATCATTCGATATTTTGGGTGTCGATATTTAGGGTGGCGATATTTTGGGTGTCGATATTTAGGGTGGCGATATTTAGGGTGGCGATATTTTGGGTGTCGATATTTAGGGTGGCGATATTTAGGGTGGCGATATTTTGGGTGTCGATATTTAGGATCAATCGATATTTTGGGTGTCGATATTTAGGGTGGCGATATTTTGGGTGTCGATATTTAGGGTGGCGATATTTTGGGTGTCGATATTTAGGATCATTCGATATTTTGGGTGTCGATATTTAGGGTGGCGATATTTTGGGTGTCGATATTTAGGATCATTCGATATTTTGGGTGTCGATATTTAGGGTGGCGATATTTTGGGTGTCGATATTTAGGATCATTCGATATTTTGGGTGTCGATATTTAGGGTGGCGATATTTTGGGTGTCGATATTTAGGATCATCGATATTTTGGGTGTCGATATTTAGGGTGGCGATATTTTGGGTGTCGATATTTAGGGGTGATCCCATAAGGACAACAGTAGTCTTTTTCCTTTCTAAAAATCTTTTTTCGGTACTCCTGAAGATGGTGGTGCCCTTTCTGCGGACTTTTTTTGCGGACTTTTCTTCCCTTATTTAAATGTTTTACTTGTAGCAACTAACTGTACGATCCTCCCCCTATTATTTTTCTTACCTAAGATTGTACATAAAGGTCAGATTTTCTTCTTCCTCTCCTTCCTCTCTTTGCCCTGTGGCATATTCAAACAAGAGACAGTGATAAAGAGAAGATTAATTTTATATGTAGTCATACACTTATTTTTTGCCTCCGAAAACTATCCTATATATAATTTTAGAATTGTTGTCTGTTTGTCTGTCCGCAGCTTTAAAATTTGCTGTGTTTGGCGTTGTGTTTAATTTTTATTTAAAAATGACAAAATATCCCAAAAAAGAAAATAGTGTGTATTTAGAGAAGAAAAGAAAAAATGTGAATTTTTTAGAATTTGTTTTGTATTTTTTTGCTGGAATTTTTTATTTTTTTTTGTTTGTTAATTGTATTAAGATGTGTTTTGATTGTTTTAATTGATTTTTTAAATTTGTTTTATTTGAAAATTGTTTTTAGGTTCAAAATCAAAACAATATTTTAGTTAGACAACGTGGGTGTCCAACAGTTTGTTTTTCAGTGCTTATCTTTTATTTTACAATTTTCTTCCAATTCAATAGCATTAACTTTAATTTCTCGTCTTTGTTGTTTGCTACCCTTTCCTCCAAAGAAAATTCTAATAAACGATCGCCCGATCAATATTCCTTTCCAAATAATAGAGAATAAGGCACGAAATTTCCAAGATAAATAAGTAATTACTAATAGGGCTGACAAAATTAGGAAAGCCATTAAAATCCAATATAATCTCTGCATGAATGACCATTTATCCTCGATGAATTCCTTTGCCCCAGAAATAATTTCACTTCCTTTATTGTGAATATCTTCTGCCAATTCTTTCCCTTTTCCAACAACACCAAACTCTAAATTCTCCTTCAAATTTTCAAAAATTTCCCTTGTAATATTTTTTCCATTTTCCAGTATTTTTGGAAAGCCTAACATCTCTGAGAGTACATCCTCTTCTTCTGGCCGTTTAATATCCTCCGGCAATGTAATAGAGTGATGAATTAAATCTGAAAATTTTTGTAGATCTCTCACCTCTGCTTTCTCTTCCTCAAATTTATTTCCAGTTTTAACAAGAATGCCTGTCTTTACTTCAATTATTGGGTTAATTTTTAATGAATGCTTCTCTTGATCAAAATTTAATAACTTTGTTTTGTTGAATATTATTCGTTGTTCCTCACAAGATTTTGTTTTAGAATCAAATACCAGATCAGGGCTTCCTGGTGAGGCAAACAATAATTTACCTCTTATTTTTACAGGCAATAATTCATAACATTTATCCTCTACTTTTTGATCCCATATTATTTCTTCAACATTGACTGGGGTACATAATCCTAAATTCCATTTTAATTTTATTCCATTTTCCAAGGATGCTATTAAATCATTTCTCCCATAGAGTAATCTTGCTGCTTTGGTGGGATTTGTTTCAGCTATAATTTTAGCGATTTGTAGTTGTTGATTTCTATTTTGGCAAGTAATTTTCCACTGTTCTCTCATTATTTCCTCTCGAGCTTGGGATTCTTCCCATGACAGATAATTTAATCGACTTTTCTCATGATTATCCTTAATTTTATTATCTCGTTCCTTTTGTGCTTCCTCGGGATCAAACAATTCTCTTTTATTTAAGGGTGCCAAAGTAGAGAAGATTTTAAAATTTTCATCCAAAAGTCCAGGTTCTCCTTTTGGTCCAGGTAATCCATTTTTACCATTAATACCTGGGCTTCCTTTATCGCCTTTAGGTCCAGCCGGACCCTGAGGTCCTGGTAGTCCATCCAAACCATTTTTCCCATTTAGCCCTGGTAATCCAACTTGTCCAGGCCTTCCAGGTATTCCATTATCGCCTTTTTCTCCTTTAAATCCGGGCGCAGTATTCTGCCCTGAAGCTCCTTTTGACCCTCTAGGTCCAGTATAACCCATATCTCCTTTTTCTCCAGGTGCTCCTTTCATTCCTCTAGGTCCAGTA